AAGAAAACTTTCCCAAAACAATGGAAGATTAGTTTGCTTTGGTCAGTTCCCCACTTTGAAATGCCACAAAATTTTACAGGCAATTCCACACAGGGTGCAGGAAAGAGAAGTGAGGGATGGGGGCTGTTTGTGCCAGTTTGTCACTGAACAAGAGGCTGGGACATCTCAGCTCTACCCCCATAAGCCATTTTGAGAGGGGACACAGGCGCTAGGGTGGAAATACTGAGCTGCAACTGTTCAATTAGAGGCTTGCAGTACCTTCAGAAAATAAGATATGGGTCCTTCAAAAAATGGTTGTCCCTTATTTCAAATAGTTCAAATTCACAGAAAACATTTTTCTAGCAAAGAGCAAACTTGATAGCATGTTAAAGACAAAACAAACAACATACACAATAGAACCCAAGCACAAACTTACATTTTTGGTCATAAATGCTTCCAGAACATGGTTGTCACCTTTTATTCCCAAGACTTCAGACATCCTGACATGCACCTGGAAATTAACATTTCAACAGTAACATACTATATAGTATAACATACTATAGATACTAACTACCTTCAACATTTTCAGTTATTCTAAAACCTTCTCCAGTTTGACTCTGCAGGAGGAAAGCACAGGCATAAGTGCATGTACATCCAACCTATGACCCTGCAGGCTGCAGCACTCGTAGGAGATGGCTTATCCACTCTCTGATGGTGTCCTGTGATGTGGGGACTGAGGCTTTTACTTGCTCTTACAAACATTTCTTTGCACAAAGGAGTGCAAATTTTCACATTAACATCACTTTGTTGTTCTTACAACAATATAGTCTCTATTGAAAACCCTAGTTTATTACAGAAAATTAGAAAGGGGAGGAGAAAACATTTTTGTCAGTCTGTCCTCAGTGGGATGTCATTCAACGCTGTCTTTAAGCTTACAAATTCTTGCACTGCTGGTGATAATATCTGGTAAATCTGGTACTCTTCAGACATTGTTTTGTGTCCTTGAAAGGAGAACAAAGGCTTAGGCAGCCCAACAGCTTGCAGCAGTGTATGTGTCCCTTTATTTCCAGTCCAGGACAGCCATTTCAGGGTCGGTGTCCCAGCACCCCGCCTGCCAGACCCAGCTGTGGGTAACACGCAGCTGCAAATGCACAGGACACAGCAGTTCTATTTCTTCCTCATTGTGTAATCTCCATAAAGTTCTCTGGGGGCTTTACCATCCTAACATTTAGTTCAGATAAAAACATTTTGTAGGGTTAAATCAACTTCAGAGACAGCAAGGTGACGATGGCGCAAAGCCGCTGCCCAAGCCTGTGCCGGCCCCTCCCCACACTCGCCAGCCGCGCTTCGTGGGCAGAACGCAGGGCCAGCCCTCAGGGGTGTCACTGCAGCCACTCCAGCTCTTGGGGACACTGTCCCCTTGGGGACACCCGGGCTGCCCGGCATCGGGCTGCTGAGGGATCCGGAATGCAGCAGCGGTGCGGGGAGAGGCCCAGCACAGCTCCCAGCGGCGAGCGCCTGGTGCCATCTACTGCCGGCTCCCTTCCTCATCTCCCTTCCCGATCCACGGCCTGGCTCCCTTCCTCATCTACTGCCGGCTCCCTTCCTCATCCACTGCCGGCTCCCTTCCCGATCCGCGGCCGGCTCCCTTTCCGATCCCCCTTCTACTGCCGCTCCCTTCCCGATCCCCCTTCCCCATCTACCGCCGGCTCCCTTCCCTATGTACTGCCGGCTCCCTTCCTCATCTCCCTTCCTCATCTACTGCCGGCTCCCTTCCCCATTTCCCTTCCCCATCTCCCGCCGGCTCCTTTCCGCAGCTCCCTTCCCACAGCCCATCCCAGCCTCGGCACCTGTGCCACTGCACCCACACCAGCCTCCCTCTGCCCTGATGGAACCCTGCGACTTGCTTTAAAAACCAAATTATCAATGCTCCACCTCTGAGGCAGTTAATAAGAACAATGAAAACAACAATAATATCAACAATTGGATTTTCACATCCCAAAGACTTTAAATTCCAGCTTACTAAAGTCAGGAGTATGTAAACTTGCAGCTCTAACCGGAAATCGCACCAAAATCAAGGGTAACTAAATTTGTAAGCTAATTTATCCTTTTATAATTGTATGAATGTAGTTTTTGGTGGCAAAACCAAAGGACAATTTAAAAAATGAAAAAAATAATACAATCTTTAAATGTTGCAAAATACTATGTTCACACTGTAAGTGTAAAGTTATTGCTTACAGTAATTAGGCATAGCAAAAATAATATATTGAAATATAAAAATAATACCTTCCAATTTAAAAAAAAATCCACTCCCTAAACAACGCACTACTGAAATGCTACAGCAGCTGCATTTTTTGCAGTGTTTCAGAATTTTTGCGTTTGGTGTCATGACAAGGAAAAAAAAAACAGTAGGAAGGAATGCAGAGGCATCAGCAGCTACCCCTGTGTGTTCCGAGCCTTCCTTCGTGCTCCGGGAGCCAGCCCAGCTCATTGTGCTCTGCTGTCAAACTAGGCTCTCCCCGCATCAGAGTTTAACAAATAAAATACTAAAACAGCAGTCAGTGTTGACAAAGAGCAGTGCTTTAATCCACAATTATCCTTGTAACTCTTACTACTCCTTTTATCATCCATTAGCTTTGATTCCCATTATCCCATCAAGAACTGTGTCAACGCTTTTGTCCCTGGGGATTTCCCACACTACTAGGATCTGACAGACAAGCCTGAGTGCTAAGCAGGATCATTACCTCTTAAATCCACTTATCTGATCCACTGAATAGTAAATTGAAAAGCTCATTAACAGCAACAATCTGATTTGTTTTCACGTGTGACAGGGTCATTCCAAGTCAGCATGAATACAGCCCTCACAATAAAAACTACCCCATCTACAGGAAATTGTAAGCTAAAATAAATATGATATTTTAAACACCTTCTTCAAAATCATTTTCAAAACCCGCACATGCTATTAGCATACAAAAATAGAAAAGTAATCGCCTCCCACCACAGCAATGCAATGCCCCTGGACTTCTAAACACTATGAAAAATTAATGATAAAGCATTTTGGTCGTACAATTATAAAACACACTTCAACAACAAAGGCTGTGCTACATATTCAAAAGGCGGAGAGAAACCCTGCTGAAAGGGGTTGTAAAAAGCTATGGAGGTGATCTCATCTTTTGCTTAGGTCCTGCAGGGACTCGGGGGTAAAGGCAGCAGAGCCCCAGACTGCAGGGCTCCTTCCTTCACCCCTCCCTGCCCGCTCCAGCAAGGAGCAGGGAATCAACTTCCAGTGGGAAAACCTTGGCTCAAGACTCCTGGGAAACAGTGACACAATGAGTCCCAGATCGTTATAACTGCAAGATTTACAACTCCAAAAGGGAATTCCATGTCAGTCCAAAGCTGTGTGACTAAAACCCGTATGGCCAACAGCGTCAGCTGACAGGAGAACACCATCCCCTGCTCACCTCACACACCCACGGCCGTGAGGGAAACACCCTCACGAGTGGCAGTGTCAGGCTCTGATGTTTCAGGAGCTCCAGGAACCCAGCCAGGGCCTTTGACTGGAGCTGGAGCTGGTGGCACCACTGCCCCCAACCCCCAGTGGCACTGCTGTGCTCAGGGGTAACAGCAGTAGCCGTGGCAGCCAAGAGAAAGAACAGACCAGTGAAACACCTTCCATACTGATCAGCCACAATTTCAAACATACTGAACCAAGTGTGAAAGCTAAGGATCAAGGGATCCTTCTTTTTTCTGTTTGTACCCTTATAGCCACCTTGGTGGCATCAGGACCCTGAAGGAAGACGGCAGACTCACAAGCTCTGGTGCCAGGGAATTTTTTAATTATCCAGGAAATTTTACAGAATCACAACAAGATTAGGTTTGGAAGGGACTTTAAAGCCCATCCAGTCCCACCCCTGCCATGGGCAGGGACACATTCCCAGGCTGCTCCACGCCCTATCCAACCTGGCCTGGGACACTTCCAGGGATCCAGGGGCAGACACAGCTTCTCTGGACTATCAGTTGTCCAAGTTACATAAACATACACCTCCCAGGTCCTTGAACTGTCCCAAAAGGACAAGAAATAAAACTGTGGAAGCAATGTTTTATAAAGCAAAATATTTGCATGTAAATACAGACCAAGAAAAAAGAAATAATTCAGTAATGACACCAAAACTTTATTTCCTTCTCTTCCCTACTCTTTGGCCTTGGATATGTTTAACTTTTCTTTGCCTTTGGAAGTCTTCTCTTTTTGGCTCTAACATTATAACTCTGAAGAAGCTAATTATATCAATTCTTAAATGTGAAGCAGATTACAGAACTGGGAAGCTCAGAATATGAGTTCCTAAAGGTTGTATGGCTCAGTAATGACAGTCACAGAAATTCAATAACAGCACTGTATGGAATGTACTCAAACACACCCCATGAAACAAATTAAAACAGAGCAATGAATCTCTCACACTGTGCAAATAAGAAAGCACAAGAAAATGTTAGTTTCTACAGTTTTCATAAGGGCTATTATAATGAATTAAGATTTTGGATAATGAATCTTCAGAAAATTACAGTAAAGTTATTACCCGTAGGCACAGCGTAAATGCTGCAGATATTATCACTTCCTTGACGCCCTCCAGGCCTCGCTGCAGAGAACTATCACAGCAACATTAAAGCATTTTGTCATGAGCAGTGAGGGCAGAAGCAGACCTGCACCACGTTTACCCCAGCCTGGCAGGGCTGGAGCACATGGAGCACATGGAGGGGAGCCTGTATGTCCCCGTGGTGTTTTTGGGAATCCAAACAACGCAGGGGTGACTGCCATGGGGCTCTACCCTCTACCTCCCTGACCAACACGCCTCCAGCACCCACCCAACTCCACACTAACTGCAAGTGGCATTCTTGGTATTGAGTGCCAAAACACACTTTGTAATTTCCCCTGTTTTTAAAATCACACTCAGGTATTTGAATTTTCAGCACTTAAAATCGCCACTATAACACAGCAGAAATCCAGCTCTACATTCTGCAGTCAGCTTCAGGAAATGGGAACTGAATCCCCTAATTGGACTATCAGGGTGCCAGATCATTCATCTTTATCTCCTGATCAAACTGAGGGCTTCAAAAGCCCTGGCTTTTACCTCCTCTTCTTAGCAGAGGAAAATCTTGGTCACTTCCACTCCTGACCAGCTGTCTTAAAAAGCTAACATCTCAAAATACTTTTAGCTCAGAGCCTAAATAAGAGAATGAGCTTTTACTGGATTGCAGTAAACTCTCTAAATGAAGAAACTCTCCAAACAGGCCAAAAGCCTCAGTTAATTCAGACAGGATCTCTGAAGACTCAAGTGGACTTTCAGCTGCTTTCTACACAAGCCTCTTTCCCACCCACTGCTACCTGTGTTCGTAATAACCAGAGCACCCACACCAATTACACAAATTATATAGATGACTTACTGTCTTACCTCCAAACCCAGCCTAAAGTACTGCATTAAGTTATCCTCCACTGAAAGAGACCTACTACAACCTAAC